GCTTGCAAGTGTCTTTTTGAAAATTAATTGAGTAATCCCAATGGGCTAGCTTTCATATTCTTCTACCAGTAGACAAAATCTAACGTCTTCTATAAACAGCACCTGGAGTTGTGTAGTTTGCTTATACTTCAGTGTACTACAATTTTACTCATTCCTTCAAAGTATTTTTACAGGCTCTTGTTGCTCAGCTATTACCTTTAAAAAAAAAAATAAATAAAAACTGCTAAAAATAAACCTACTTTGATTTAATGGCATGCCACAACTCAGAGTACCCAGAGTGGAATGTGAAACAAAATTCTTTCACTTTTTGTTGTTGTTGTTGTTGATGGTTTTGTTAAGAAAAAGGCCTTCAGTTTTGTTCTGGCAATTTAAAAATTCCTACCATAAAAAGTTTTTCTTTGTGATATATGTATCACACAAAAACTAAGTTTACACTGAATTAGCATTGCTGACAGGAGTCTTGGCAACAGGTATGAATGCAATGAATCTACATTTTTTGGCAAATGGACATCAAGTACTTGTACTTCCACGCTACTGACATGTCAGATAGAAGATATACTTAGGACACATGACTTCACAGTTCTAAATCAGGTCACTTGCTACAGTATAGAGATCACAAGCCTCACACCCCTGCACGATCAAAAAATGTCAAAATATAACCAATTATTTTCCTGACATCTAAGCTCTCTGATCATCCTTCATATGTCATGAAGGGTGTCTACTTACCAGTTTAACAGCCCCATATTGACAATAGTATCACCATTGCTGCCTGCCTGCCACCCCACTTCTCCTCCCCACTTCTTTTAACTAAGGAAGCACCTAAATTACAGAAAGGTGGAAGAAAAACAACAGTCCAATGAAACAGCCAGGATAAGAAAACTTGTTTAAAAAGCCATATATGTACTTTCATATACCAGTTTTAATTCACTTTATAAGGCATTTTAGCTGACTGAATCACTTTGAAAGAGCTGTTAGAGGGACATAGCACTCTCAGCCCTCTGAAGAGCCAGACTGAAGTTGTTGGTTGCAAAATAAAGTTACATTAAGGGTACAGCTAGACAAGCCAGCTTAAGTAACGTAATAGCTCCCTGACATCAAAAGGATATCCCTTCCATAGCTCCCTGACATTGTCAGCCCTGGACCTTTCCTCTCCCTTCTTCATTTCCAGCCACACAGCTCCATCCCGCCTGTGCTGGCTCTCACACTTGTCTGACCTCTCTGGCCACATCTATAATAGTAAATAAAACGAGGCCAGAGCACAGGCTCGAGCCATGCTGTTAGCATCCTCTCTGACACCATTTTGGCCCATACCAGCTTGGCACTCTCCCAGACAAATGTGCAGGCCTGGTTAAGGAGACAGCAAACGCAGAGCAGTAAACTGCTCCCTACTGGCAGTTTGGACGCAACCACGCTGTTTCAGGAGGAAGACTGTTAGGGGTGTGCAATCTTGCCACTTTGTTCCGGGTCCAGAGACCAGTCCCTGACATATTTTATTCCCTAGTGTAGACACAGCCTCTGTGAAACAATACAGCTCATTAAGCTGGTAGAAATGTAACACAGGAAAACCATAGCTAGAGATAGCTGAACAGATTCACTAAGGGGCAGCAAAAAGGAAGGATAGAAAGACATGGATGGTAGCAAAGGAAAGAAGCATGAAGAGGGAGCCTGACAGATCTTTTAACAACAGTTGCTAGATCAGATCAGGCCATGCTGTGTAACAACACCTCTTGCTGTAAGCCTTGTATTTCCAGGGCTATCAGGAACAACACAGAGAGGGGACATCCTATTCCTTTTTTTTTTTTTTTCGTATTTATGTGTTAATATATATATATACACACACACATGCATACCATGTAGAAGACAAATAAAGTGAATGATAGCTGCAAACTGAACAATTCTATATTCTTAAAGGATAATCACTATTACACTTCCACGGGATTTATTACAGGATTTATAATCTTGAGAAAATGCAACTCCTTGTAAGTTTGGTTAGAATTATGGCAGCTCAATATACTGAAAATCAGGTGCCCAAAACATACATTTAATTTGAACATTTGACAGCTGTTTGAAAATATTGGCCTATTTATGTACAGTCCCATCTCTATGGAAGCACAGTACATAAAATGTACAGCTGCTGCTTTTTTCAAAAGCAGTATCCCGTGCTGCTTGTCTCTTAGTTACATATATTCTAAAGCTGCTACCTGATTTGCTTCTAACCAGACTGGCCTGCTTAACTGCACACAGCAGTCTTTTGTCCTGAGGTGGATAAGAATAAATAAATAAACAAAAGAATTAATTTTGGGAGTAAAACACAGTTCAAATTTCTTAGCTGTCCACAGAGAAGAGCACATATGTGGAATATGAATATACCCATCACACCATTTTTCAATTTCACATATATACAGCATAACAACATAAGGCTACCTTATGCCCACAGGGCAAAATTTCCAACAACAAACTGGTCAGAAATGACCACAAACAGAACATTCTCCTGTTTACATAGCTCTCTCACAGTGAAACTGCATCCATACAGCATCTTACACTGACAATAAACCCACTCAAAACCGCCTCACAATGCAGCACACTTACTCCAAACTAAACATTTATCCACAGGCTAAGAAAAAAGATTTGAAAGGCCACAGTTAACCATTTTCAACTTTGCTGAGTAAACTTCAATGACCAATATTCTGTGCGTACCTACATTGGTTAGTTTTTCAAATTATTCTTAGGACTCCTAACCTTCATAAAGAATCTAGTTCTAGCCTCCATTAGAAACGTAATTTTTATGCTACCAATACATAGTTCTTGTAAGCTTCCCCTGAAAATTGCCAACAAGCCAACAATATTCACTATGACCTGTGGGTTGCCATTAATTTTATTTTAACATCAGAGTGGGTGAATTTCTCGACTGTTGTGATGGAGCATTCATCAGCCCTATTGTACAGAATGCCGTCAAGCACTGCCTGCTAACAAACCCAGGAGTCTCCAAAGCAGTCTCTTGACACAACACCCACCTTCTCTTCCTCCCCCTCAAATCCAAATGGTTCTGCATTATATTTTTCAGCCTTACTACTCTAGGGAAGATTTTCCACAGATGTTGAATAAAGATATGAGAAGGTTTTGTTTTGTTTAATATGAGCCTGCACTGTGACTCCAATGCCATGTACTTAATAACATTCTTGCTGAAGCAGTAACACTAACAGGAGGCTAGGAAATGTCAACAATAATTCAAGTCTTCACTTTCAAATAGATTTTGCAAATAGTCAAAAGTTCTTCTTACCAGCTGAACACTCACATTCTGGTTTAAATTCGGTGTTTTCTTCTGTGAATTGTTACATCAATCATTTCCAGTAAATAATTATTTAAAACAAAACAAAACAGGCATGTCACACTCTTATTTGTGTAACAAAAAATGAATGGCAATAGAAGCCTATATGCAGACAATAGAACTTACTCAGACAGTATAACTGTGCTGGATGCATGGATACATACAACAAGACAGTAAACCCTGCCTCCAAACCTTAATCATAGGCTGTAGAATAGTTCCAAATGATCAATTTTTTTGTTAAATCTAAATAACATTAGGACAGATTGTGGTATTGTTTTTCCATGCAAAATAAATCAAACTCTAAACTATTCACAATAATAAATGCTCTCAGCTCCAGGATTTTATACACTCATAGATGAGTAAGAAGTTACTCAACCAGCAGTTAATTTGCACACCAAACAGCAGCTCTGGTTTCCTTTTACATACTTATCAACAAACTGAAAATGGACTAATGAGATACGAAAATACGAAATATGAAAATATTGGACTAACTCGCTTCCACATGTATTTCAGCTACCTGGAATCAAATGCCAAAGAATCTTACAACTTCAGTAGCTGCTAACTACTCCGAGTTCCTCAAGGCAGACACACTTATGAACAAGTTTCTTTTACTATTTGTAAAGATTAAGTGAATAATCTCTTAGTTTATAAATTTTTTGAAAACCATGAGAGTATATCAGCATTTCTAGAAAGGGGTAGGTAAGTTGCCAAACGCTTGCAAGTTTATCTCATATTGTTAGTGTTTCCACAGGCAAGAGACAACTTGAACTTAAAACAATAAATTAGGATTACTATAGCACCACGGAACAGACTATGCCCGTTTGGTAGTTCTCATCTTTCAATCTGCAAAGTAAAAAAAGTTTCTACAGCTTATACTTACAGCATTTTAAAACACAGCAGACAACTACACAAACCAGTCATGTAACAACTTAAGCCTAAATCAGGATTAGAATATCAATTTTATAATTTGTATTAATCTGTGCACGAGAAGCCCTTCACTGGACACAGAAATTATACTTCCTAGATACTTAAAAGACATGCAATGCACTTATAAATAAATACTGTTTCATAAGCAGAAACTATTAGAACTGGTATGAGGAAGTGGAATCAGATTTGGCAACATCTCAATGCCACATGCAATCTGGTCACACAACAATCTGCTCATATCAATTTAATGTTTTTAAAACATGCCAAATATCACACTCTTAAAGATTGAGAGATTTTAGCTTTATTTTGAGGATAGTGATGATTTAGAGCCCAACCTTACTGGATAAGTACTTTTTCATTCAGTGAATATTCAGCATTCTACTTCATAAGAAGTCGTTCAATATTTAATTTTACGGACTGGTCCTGTGAAATGCTGAGTACTTTACTTCTAAAATATTAAGAATTCAGAATTCTACTGAATAACGCCTTTATACAACTTTTACATAGAAGTCTAACACAGCAATAGATACTGGAACATAAGGAAATTTTACTTACTCTGTTCTCCTGATTGTGCTACTACTTTCCATTTATCAACTACTTGTTTGCACTACTTGCTCAGATTTCTGTCCTTGTCAGTTGACTATACATTAATCACTCATTACAGAAATTCTACCTCAAATGTTTTTTCTTCTCTAGCTGTTCAAAAACAATGCTGAGATAGCTCCCAGTCCACATGTGTACTCACCAATGCATGCAGCATCTTGCAAGGTTGAAACAGAAGTTGTTTTCCAGAATCTGTTCCCTTTCCATTTCACGTGCACATTGGTGATAACAAGTAGCTCTTCACTAATAAAAAGCTGCTGACATTCTTTCTTAAAAAAAATAAAAATAAAGAGTCAACAAAATTTCCCAAAGCTTACTATTCTAATTTTATATTGATATAATGTAATATGATTTTTAATATTTCTTTATGCTTCTTCAGAAAAAAAACACTGTCATTTCACTTGGGCTAAAACTATTTTTTAAATGACTGAGGCTTTTAATACAACACCTAGTTTTGCAGCAGGACTACACTGACATCTAGCTAACTAGGGTATATGACTGGTATATGCAATATTGTTCTGATCTTTTTTCTTCATACTAGAAAAATTCCAAAGCACTCAACTAAGACCACTACAGTGAAAGCCTTGTGCTATTTTAATTATCTGTTATAAAAGAAAATACTTTTACTAATAAAGAGCATTCTCACAAACGTCCAAGTCTTTATGCGGACAAACTGTTAGAGTAGTTATGGTTTCTGAGGTGTGCACACACACGTCCCACAAGATGTCTTTACAATTGGCCTTTTAAGTACCATTTACACCCCAAAGGTAGAGATTTTACTTTTACGTACTTTATAAGGCCTGTTAAAAAAAAATTACCAAAAAAGCATACATAGCCATAAAAATAAATAATGGTTTGATTAAATTGACTCCCCTGTCCACTCAACTGAAAAAGAAACAAATTAAAGATTCAGGGAGATTTTGCAAAAGCAGTCAGATTAAATTAAAAATATTAAAATTCCAAAATGCTGTAAGAAAATATGTTTGTACTTATAATAAATACGAATTCAACTTCATTTATTTTCCAAGATGTATGGTGTTCTCTTTTTTCCCCTTGCAAGAAATATGCCATGTGCAAGAGAAACAGAACTCAGAACTCAAATCTCAGCAGGTAAGCTAAAGCAAAGTAAAGAGAAAAAAAAGTGCTATTTGGAATTTTGAAGTAAGAGCTGCTTCTAAAAAAATACTAAGAAAATTTACGTTGCCCTCCTTGACTACTTTGGGTCAACAGTGAGCACTACAGTCTATTTTCTAGAACAAGATGAATATCCTAGGCCATGTATCCTACTCTGCTGTAGGACATTATCTTCTCTAATGTTTTTATAACACTCAACACATAAAATATTAAAAGCATAACAATACAAAATCACAACTGAAATGCAACCCTTTGTCCATGGTTTAAAATTCATAACGCCCTTTAAGATGACTACAGTATTGAGGGGTATGAATAGAAAATGAAGACATTAAAGAACTACTGAAAAGCAAGTGAGAAAACCACAAGGTTTTCAGGACGTACAGGTTTGTAATAGGCAGCCAAAACTCCCTATGCCACCTGATTGTAGAGGATGACAGTCAATAGAAGGCATCAGCAGATTGATAAGAACTTTTTTTTGGACTATGCCAAGTGTTCCTTCCAAACATGGGAAAAGAAAGGGGAGCACGCTGGCTACGCAGGTTTACAAAGCTCTCATAAGGTCTGCGCACACTCTCATCCTCCTGAAATGCTACATTGTGCTATTTAAAATCCAAAAAGTTGCCACTAAAAGTAACTAAGAGCCAATGATTGCTTGATAGCTCATGCCAAATATCAACGGTTATGGTACTGGTTTAGCTTTGCATAGACTTGTGACTACATCACATGAACCACCACTGCCGTCAGTTTCAGCGTGAGACAAGGTAGCCTCAATATTGTCAGCGATTCAGAATTTGTAAAGGAAACACTTTTTATAGCTTATCAGTTTTGCCACCTGCAAAGACCATGTGAATTTCAACCCAATAATCAGTGTTAGATGCCAGTAAGAAAGTCCGTACATGCTCTATAATACAAGTACAGTTTGATTAAAACTTTTCTTCCCGACAAAACTTATGCAACATCTCTATTTGTGCAGTACTACTAAGACATCCAATGCCACCAAAGTGCCAAACATCATTATTCCAGATAATCCTGTCTGACGAATCCTGTACTCCTTCCACGAGAGAGCTAAGGAACAGCTACTTGTGTCAGTGAGGCTGTGCTAATCTTAATATGAATACAAGGCAATACCTTTTAGCACTCCTTTCCATTACTTTCTGAATGCCATCTTTTCCACTTGCTTTTCAGAAGGCAAGTGGACAGCCCCGTAGGGACAATCAAGAACACGTTTTTCTCATCAGACCACAAAAGCTAATACGGGGGGAGCTCCCACTGACCCACTCCTCACTCCAAGGATATAGGACTCTCCTCTGACCAACCGACTGGTAAAGGCACAACCTGCCTGACCAGGCTGAGCCAACAGAGGTAACCTCCAAGCACGTATTTTCTGCCTAGCGCCCAAGTTCATTTCTCAAACCAGGCTAAGGACAATTCAAATGTGCTGCATTTCAGAGACACGACAGTTGCAAAACAGCACCTTCTATGACAGGACGTTGTCTTCTCCTCTGTTCCCCGCCCCCCAGCACCCTGAAGCCTCCCCACAAAGTTTCCAAGATCGCTCGTTACCTACAAACGCCAGCCTCCGCCAGGGCCGCTCTTGCTCGTCCTCTAGCCCCTCCGGCCCCAGGCTGCCGCCCACCGCGGTCCCCGCACGGCGGGCAGCTGGCGCGAAGCCCGAGCGCGGCGGCAGGAACAGCCAAAGGATGGCCCCAGGGCAGCCAG